GCCAACTCCAGGGGCCAACTTCGGTAACAAATGCTTAAGCCATGTTTGACATGGGAGGACACACAAGTCTGGTTTCACCCATGCATTTGAAAAGGACACAACCGCTAACAGCATGGGTGCCTGTCTCTTGGCACCAAGGGCCATGTTCAGCCCACCTGCCATTGAGGGTTAACCAGCCTATTTTGAGCTAAAATACTGTAGGTGGTGTGAGAGTGATGGAAAATCCATACTGTCCCAGCATCTTATTCTGTCTCTCCACCACCTCTAATCTTTCATTCCCCTTGCCTAGGACTTCATCTGTACCCTATCAAAAAGCCCACAAAAGTCAGGTCCTTTCCCCACAAAGCAAATGGCTGTGAGGACATGAGGCACTGTCAGATCTGAGCCCATAGCCAACATGCAACGTCTTCTGAGGTCAGTGGGAATACCAGAGAAAAACAGTGATTGCATTTTCTCTGCACAGACATTTTGGTGCTTTCCATATGACTTTTAAACCATGAATAATGCCAGCTTCCAAAGATTTGTCCTAGATTTGAACCTTGCTCACAGCCTTCCACTTGCTTAGCCGTGAACATGATTTTAACAAAGCCATTTCAACCTCTTAGTTAATTTGTTTCCGAGGCCTTTCTGTTTCAGAGTGTGTAATTAAACTAAAAGAGCCTGGAAAAGCCCCTTACAGTAAATAATTCACAAGTTCCTCCCTGGGGACATTTTTTAATTATAACTCCACTGGTCAGATCTTACTGAATACTCTGAGATTGCATTCCCTGCTGAGATTCTGAAATATAATTAACTTATTCCTTTGGTAATGGTATTTTTCCTTATCCTATTCATTTCTTATGCAGGGCAGGCAGATTTGTTTATAAACAAAGTAGAGATTGATAGACGCTTTGTCACGAGAATAACAATAATGGCATTCACTGCCACAGACGGGGGCATGTCCATTTGAGGAGAGATGATACTGTTTTGAAGCAATTTTTATAAATCCTACCCTGACAATCCAGTATGGAGAGACACACGAGAGCAACCAGACAGCTCCGTTCCTCTCCTTGGCAGCCTGCCTTGCTCCCCAAGTGCCATTTTATGCAGAGCAAACGTAAATAATTCTGACGCACCTACCAACCCCCTAACCTCTGTGCTTCAGAAACACTGCTATATACTATCAAACTGACAGTGATTTCATGCTTTGTGGCAAAAAGAAAAACCCTGAGCAACAGCAGCAAGGTTGGGGATGTCAAATGAAAGCTGTCACATTTATTTAGCTCTGTGATTCTCACGACAATATACATCAATATTGTTTTACTATCCCCACCAGCCAAATGTTAAGAGCTGTCTGCATCAAGCAGGGTCCTGCGGCTCCCCCAGCCTGGCCGACAAGCCTGTGATGATCTTCTCCCACCCCAGGAGAGGCAGGCAAGAAACAAAACACCAGCTCCTCTTGTTCCCAATGATACAGCACATTAAATGATTTCCTCATCCTTTCCCACTGCAGCTGTAGCCAAAAGGGCAGTTTGAAGTGAAAGTGGGAGAGAACGGCTCCACGATGGATTGAAATGTGATCTATGAGATACGAAGTTTGGGGACACGCGTTGCCTCAAGCCCCAAAAGCCTTCAAAGCTCACTTGCTTTTCCTGTACCAATTAGTTCCAGCAACTCCAGCAAGCCCGCAAGGACAAAGCTTGATGTCTGTCTGTGGCTGTGCTGGACAGGAGCCTGTATTTTGCATCCAAACTCTTGCTTTTTACTTTTTCTGCCCATTTTGATCTCCCATGCAACAAACGTATGACCAAGTCCTCGTCTCTGTCTAAGCACTTTGTTTCTGTACAGTTGTTAGTGCTGGCCCTGAAGTCTCTTCATCATATGCTGGCCTTTTTGTGCACAGTTGTTCACCTGGTATCACTGGTGAATATGTACAAGTCAAGCCAGCCCTTACTCTAGTGAATAAATCACAGCTCAGACAGCAAGATCAAAAGCTAATCTAAAAGGGCCATAAAGTTTTGTGAACAAACTCATATCTAACTGGGCAAAGAATAATAATAAAAATAACCTCGTATATAAAGAATGTCTCAGAAAAGCAAAGCCAGAGGTGCAGAGGTTTTGGAGAAGCTGTTTGCTTTCACGGTAGCCATTTAATTTTTGTGGCACAAAGCCTCCTAATAAAACACAGCTCAAAAAAATAGCATTCAGTTTTAAAACCAAACATCATTGTGGCATCCAATTATTATTACCCAGCTGGCTTGAATTGAAACTGAATGTAATTAACTAAAGGTGGAGCCCCTGCCTACAAAAGGCGGGCCATTTCTTTCTGGTTGTGGAAGATGCAGTGGTATCCTTGGAGTTGCAGCCCAGGCTGGTGAACAACAGCCGATGGCCCTGATGTGATATGTCTGAGAGACCCTAAGGACTGCGACTCCCTCGCCGGAGCCAGAGGAGCTGGAGCGAGAGTCCTTCGGTGAAGAAGGTAAAGCCGCAGGCTCTGACGTGATATTCATGGGAGGGAAGTGTGCTGGAGTTAGAATGGTTGGACTGGGTCTCTGCTCACTGTAAAGCCTTTAGTGTCCTCTAAAAACAAAAAACTGTAAAACAAAAAGGGGGAATTATGGCATCATATTATTATTACCCAGCTGGCTAAAATTGAATTGAATATGTAATTAACTAATTAACCAAGGTTGGGACCCTGCCTACAAAAGGCGGGCCATTTCCTCCTGGCTGTGGAAGATGCAATGGCATCCTTGGAGCTGCAGCTCAGGCTGGTGAGCAACACATCATGGCTTGCCCTCAGTGTGAAGGTAGCAGCAAGAGGTCATTAGCTTCTGATTATGCCCTAACCATTCTATGATTCATTCTATGATTCTAATTTTGTGCCTAAAGTAGAACTGGAGCAACACTCATGCAGTCACACTTAGTGTCACTTTAACCAAAATCATGTAAACCTGTCTCAGGATCCCAGGTAAAGCACCACGGTTAAACCTTGAGGCAGGACACCACTGAAAGCACCCACCGGTTTTGGTGAGGTGGAAGCAGGTAGCTTATTGCATGGGGCTGGACTTAATGGATGCATTTAAAACATCTATTAGACTTGGGATCCAGGTCTCCACTGTGAAAAATACTGGCTTCTGCGTAGCTTTGTTGATGTTCAGGGCAGGCTGTGCCACATGGCCCAGTGCTGAGCCTAATGTGATCGGTGAACTCAAACAGCCTTGCAGACAAACCTAGAAACAGGGCTGCCACATGCAAAGCTCTGCGCTATAGTTTTTTTGTTTGTGTTTTTTTGTTGGTGTCCATACGTTGACAGAAGTTCAGAAATGAAGAAGGGATTAAAATGCAGACACTGTGAAAAAAGGTCCAATTTTCTCACCATGTTTATTCTCCAAAGGTCTTGAATCCTAAGAGCCTGTCTTCCTTTGGCAAGGCAGCACTGCAGAGCTGGGAGGATGCTCCACCGCATGCCCCAGTACTGTCATCTCAACTTCTGCTTGCACAGCCCTGTGTGAACACCTCTTGCCCTGTATCTTTCATTTGGTGAAGTTTGATAAAGAACTGATGGAAGGCCATCATTTCATTAAACAGCTCATTGCAAACTGCTACCAGCCGTCTTGTTCAGGTTGCAGTTTTTCTGTACACACTGGAGGGAAGCCCAGTAGGCCAACACTGAAGGTATCCTCACCCCAGCCAGATGGACCTCTGCTAACATAGGATGCAGAAGCACATCAGAGCACAGGCCAGAGAGCCTTGAGTTGCTAAGCTTATGTTCACCCCAGAGCAAGAGGGTTTAATTAGTTACTGTATTGGAAAAAAATGGAAATCAAACTGAATACAAGCATTCTGAGATGAAGAAGTTCGTATGTATTGTAGGAATGGTTTTGTTCACAAAAACGGTTATTGTTGAGGAAGCCTTAAGGTCATTCTGCTCCACAGCTGGTCCTTGAGAATTCATGGATTTTTTTGATGACAACGCAGAGTGCTTTGGTGAAAATAAGTGCACTGATTTATTGATTGAGGGAGGAGCTAAACATGTAAAGAAACAGTGAAGTTGTGTCGAAGAAGGAACACAAAATTTTGACCGTTTGATTTATCCTGATTGGAAATATTGTGTCCTATTACTATGAGGACAGTGTGCAGAGGGGAAACTCACTATCTTCTTCCTGATTTCCAGGATGGTCTGGAGAACTACCAACCTTCCACCCAAAAACTTACTCAATCCATAAAACCTGTTCTCTGTAATTCTTAGTATCTCTTTATTCTTTAGCATAGTATCCATACTTTCACACAATATTTTGGGACACTATGAATGGCCCATGTACAAAATTATAGAATTTAAAGTAATTTTGAATAAGAGAACTTGCTGATTGCATTTTAGACCACGTTACAATCTTATATTCAGATGAAGAAAAGAAGCATATACCAAAGCTATGGAGATGAACCTTTTTTATTAACAAACACCCCTTTTATTTTAAGACAACTTCAAGGAGCCAAGTAAACAGTCAAAATTATCATATACACTAAAATCAGTTAAGGCCTTTTTCCAAACGCTATTTTTTGCCCAGCTTACTATAGGAGTTATCTGGCATTTTCTTGTTTTGCGCAGGGATGCATATAACATTTAAGTACTAAGAACTTTTACCATAACAAGTATCTGATTCCAGAATGGATCAAGAACTGAATTGGTAGACAGTTCACTGGAATAATAAAACTGTGAAGTACCAAGTAGCTTGTTCATCAAAAGTATGATGATAAGAAATGGTCCTTACTGTAATTAACAGTCACCCATTCTTGTTTCTATTGATTCTAGAATAAGAATTCACAACAAATATTTGCTAATTAGAAGCAAATCAATGCAATCCTCACTATTAACACATTTACACTGTGGTTTGGTGTTTTTTTTGTTCAAACACAGTGTATTTTATTGCTTCTAAAGTCATATATGATTATTAAAAGTCATGATTGATGGATCTGATGTCTTTGGTTCGTCACTCTGAAGGGCTGGTATCAAGACACTTTCAGCAGTCTTCATAAAGGATTTCATCCACTCGGACATCATTTTCTGCCACAGGCACTGATTCACAAATCTGTTCCCTAAAAGCCAAGGCAATCGTGTAAGGCTTTCCAGTGGGATGTTTCATGCATCTTTCAAGATAGGTATCATAATATCCTTTCCCTCTTCCCAATCTGTTGCCTTTTTTGTCAAATCCAAGGCCTGGCATGAAGATAAGGTCAAGACCCCCTGTAGAAAAATGAAATAAACATTAGTGGATGCACTGTGGATTTCCTGATGGCTTGACTACATCCACATGACTTCAGACATTTGCGAAAATGCAAGCTTTGTGTTTTGTAAAATGCTTTCCTCTCTTTGATCAGATGAAAAATACTTTGAATACTAAACCTGTAAATTTACATTTTCAACTTAGCAATTGCATACTAGATCAGCTCCAAAATAATTAGACCTTGAAAAGCTAGATGGAAAAAACCCTATCTTACAGCAAATTTATTTTATCTTTTTAACCCCACACTTCCAAATACTAATGATTATGACTCTAAATCCAGGCAGAGATTGAACTCAGGGAAATTAAATGCTGGAGGAATCAGAAAATCAAATGAACTTCAACATCAGACACAAAATAGAAAAGGAAAAAAGAATTAAAAGATGCATAAGAGACAGATCGAGCATGTCCTCTTGACGTAACTGTAAGATGTCATGAATCTTCATCCAACCTCCCAAAACCAAAGAGCCTTGAATACAACATATTCTGAAAGTGGGTATTTGCCCTCTTATAACAAGATCAAGATTTGAAGTCTTGTCTCTTCGCAATGTCAGGTTCCTCTCCTCCCAAAGGACTTTCTTCCTGAGTCTCGAGCAATTTTCGCTGTTGCTCGGGCAGCACACACAGTCATTCTGCTTGCCTGCCCTCAATATCCCTCCTTCTGGAGGAATGTATGGGTTCTCCAAGACTCTTCTGAGATTGCACTTCGTTGGAATTCCACATCAGTTAAAAAACTGAAACAAGCTGCATAAGCTGCCAATCATCTGGACAAAACAGACCCCACCGGCTGGTGAAGCCCTGACAAAAGACCCCCCCCAAGCAGCTCCTGAGGAAAACACAAGGTCAGCTAAGCGCTTTTCCTTGCTTTATTCATGCTCTGTGAATGGATGTGGAATGGCCTCATGCCAGGTAGCCAGCGACAATTTACACCCGGCTGCCTACTTGTTTCAGGAGTTGATTCACATCACTGCCAGGTAGGCAAAAGAAACCGGCTGCCACGCTGAGCGACTGCCAGGCACGGGGGCAGCCAGCGGGCGGGCTCCCATTACTTATGCAAGGCTCGTCCGTTTGGCGTGAGAAGTCTTGCAAGGATATCCTCTGAACAAATGGGCTTGGCTGGCCTGGTACTGACCGCTGAATCCAGGAACATCCCGCTTACTAGTTTCACAACGCAAAGAAAGTCTTTCATTACTCGCTGCTGTAGCAGACAGGTACTTAAGGAGAGAAGGGCAGGAACAGTAGTGGAAAGCCAGTGAAGGCTAAACCACGGCTGACACGAGTTTGGAAAGAAAGCAAATATCAAGTCTCAGTCCACTGCTTCTTCCGTCTTACAGGAATGGTACTTGGGCTTGAGCAGCGTTTCTATGGCTAGCTTCTGCTCCTTCAGCAGGGCTAGGATGTGTCAGGTATTTTGCTGCTTTTCCTATGTCCAAACCTACTCTCTCCTGCCATTTTGGATTGAGCTGCTCTCACTACAACTAGCTGAGGAATGATGCCCAACATTCAGGGAGATGTGTGGGAGCATGTACTGGAAGAGCCAGAGCTAAGCAGAGTTTTTCAGTTTCCTGGGAATCCCAACTCAGCCAGGAAGAGTATGTTAAAATTTTTCATAAGACCAACTCATTTGCATGCCGTTCCCAGGATCCTGGAGATTTCCTTCCAATGTTCATCATTTAAAGAAGAGTCACTCACGTGAACACCCATCCGCCATGACCTGATGACTTAATTAGAACATAGATATAAAATATGCGAGGCAACACAGTGTGAGATGCTGGGAGAAGATCAATCTCACAAATCTGGCATCATACAGATAAGAAGCATGTTTTTTTTGAAGAGGTCAGGAGAGAAGGAGGAGGGAATTAGCCAAAGGGCAGACCACAGAACATTACTGGCTGAAAAAAAAGGGAACCTGAGTGTTTTACCACACTGCAGTCAACTTTTGACTCATAGGACAGACAAATGGCAAGTGGCAAACAAAGAGGAAAACAGGCACGAGGGCAGAAGTATGGGCTCCCTTGAAAAGAGATGCCATTTTTATGGTATTACCATGTACATCATGTTGAAGGTACCAAGCCACATCTCCTCAGGTTGCAAGTACAAATACGTATTTGCCAATTGTCAGGACTACCACCTAGACACCGGCTGATCTTCTTCCCATTAGCATGGTCAGGAGCAGATCCTGCAGGTCAAATCCTCCCCATGTTACTCCTGTGCTCACTACTTCCCCTCTCCATCATCTGTCTCACATTGGCTTTGCACAGCTATTCAGGTGGCCCAGAAACCAACATGTGGCAAACTCTGATGGTGCGCAGAAAGAAACACACTCTGCCTTACCTTTTTTTTTTTTAGCTGTTTTCACTTTGTGTGACTGTCATGGCAAAAAGCAGGAGACATCTGCAGTCACTACTGTTGGCCGGTAAGAACGCACACAAGGGGCAAATCTGCAGAGTAAAAAGGTGCCATTTCTCCTTACATCTGTATTACAGACAGGAAGAAGACAAGTCAGGGGAAGAAGCACTAAGGAAAGAGGGAACCAGCAGGAACAGTACCGGGAAGAAAGATATTTTCTATGTAGTCTAGCTGATAGCACAGGGCACACTCGATTGAATTCAGACGTATTAAAGCACCATGTTTTCTTCTGGGTACTCTGGAGAAACAGAGTCTGTTTCAATGAGTCAGTTCCTCTACCATTATGGATTTTTTTGTGCTGAATAAGACTGTGCAAATCTCAATATGAAAAATGACGCTGTGAATACTGTAGTAGTTACCCTTACATTTTTCTTCCACTGGAGCTCTGCAATACCAATGTCTCTGCTCTGACTCACAACGCGCTGTCTGATATCCATGCGTCTCACACCGCACAAGACTTAAATAAAATGCCAAGCCAGACTGTTGGTAGAAAAACGACTCAGTTACCCTGCGGGGAGCCCGAAGGCAGTTAGAGCAGCGTTAGCCCCAAATCCTACCCTGGGAGCTAGAATGAATAGCAGAGAGCTGCACGGAGAAAACACTTCCCCACCACGTAACTTGGGGAGCAACAAAACCTCTTGCGGTGCCTGCGGCAGCACGGGGGAAAAGCTGTCACAGGATGAGAGGTGACACACAGATGAGACCAAGATTGCAGACACAGATGAGACCAAGATTGCAGACACATAAGATTACTATCAGCAGTGAGCGTACAACAACAGGATGGCAGGTGAGGGGAAGAACATCTCACCCCTCTTGCCATGGGTCCCTCATGCTCCCAGGCTCTTCCAGCCCCCCAGGGCCACCAGTTGCCACTCAGGATGCCCCACAGCCTTGCTCTGTTCTCGCATCCTACTGCTGTTGCTCCCACAGACCGCTGTGTTAAATGGCATCTGCGTCCCTGGGAAGACAGAGCAGGTACTTGGGCATCAAACACCGTATCAGTTTTTGGTGCTTCAAAAAACACGCTAAGGGACGTCTCGCATTTGCCACCTGCTTCTGTCCCTCTCCTTGTAATGTGCGCTGTCCCCCATGTGTCTGTAGTTGTTAACTGGTGGTTCTTGGATCCCTGAGAGTCCTGTGACTACGTGCCAGGACCCCAGGAAAGCACGCCCAAAGTCAAGAGTCTTTTGCTATAGGTAATCTGTGCTTCTCTTGGTATACTGGCATGTGGTCTGCAAGTTGCTAAAGGTTGAAAAGGCTGAAAACTCTGTCTCGAGCAACAACGTATTGCTCCAGCTTCTATGTAGAAAATATCAATGCTTATACGCCTTAATTAAGATACTGGGTGTCCCAGTAAGGTTGGCAATTACAGTGACAGTCACCTAATACTTGCTGTATCTATGACATGAGCTCTTGTGGCCACAGCTCCTTCAATGTGTAGCACCATGCGTGAAATAATAAACCCTGACATCTATCAGTGTGGGCATACATCCATGCTGACATGGCCACACAGGTTCCACTTACACTGCTAGATACAGCAGGACCAGAAAACAAATTGATTTACAGGATCACAGGTGGTCAATACAGTTTAATTGTCAGTACACTGTCTGGCACAGCTGGTCCCAGTGACACCCACGCCTGCTCCAGGGGACAGGATTCCCATGGCCAGTAAAGACACAGGAGTACAGGTCTGGATCCTTCCACCCTGGGCAGTCCTCCTACACCAACAAAACTGGTTTTGCTCCTCCAGACACAGACACAGGCTTTCCTGCCATGTGCCAGAATCTGCAACACAAATCCTTAAACCAATGCTACAAAACACTGCTGTGATGGTTTGCCATAAGGCCTCATGTTATTAAAGACGCCACAAACTGGGGAAGAGATTAAAAAAAGCAGTATTGCCTTGGGACCACAGAGGCACCGTGTGAGACCAATAAAAGAAGAGACAGGCCAAGTTCTGTGCAGTGTGGACAGGACTAGCCTGTGCCACTTAGCCCTGTGTTATTTAGCAGCGTAGATGCAGTCATAGCTTCAGAACCTGCCATGTGGGTGTACAGGCACCTTCTGCTTGCACTGACTTGCATACATCGATGGAGACATGGCTTATGTCACAGAGAAGTGAAATGACTTGCCCAAGGACTCAGGAAACATGTGGCAAAACTACACGCAAAGGGCAGGTGTGCAAGCTGCACGTCCCCCAGTTTAACCAGCAGACCAGAACGTTAGCATCCCCTCTCTGGTGTTTTAAATAGGAATACAGGGTTTCGCTTCCTCCAGGCAGCTGCGGTGAATCTCCCGAGTTCGGCAGTGCATTTCTCATTACCCTTCATGATGATATCAGGTTTGATTTGTTCCCCAGGGAAGGATTTTCTCCTTGCACCTCATTACCTCTCTTCTTCTTAATCTGATGTTCCTATTTGAAATGCCAGACGGCATTTTCAGAAGTGTTCTTGACAATGGTTAATTACAGAAGAGTCCATCAAACTGCACAGACACAGGTCGTGTGAAGACTGCCGGGGACTTGTCCTGCCCTCAGAAGGAGCAGCCAGCATGACCCCTCT